GTTAAACCAAGAGAATTCGCTATTGTTTTGGATGCAATTCCAAAGCAGGCCCGGATTGGCTAATCGGGAGGACCGGGAGAATTCCCGGTGGGCCGGTCCGTTTTTTGGCCGCGAGGGCCGGTGTCCCTAGTTCCAGAATCGGTTGCTCTCAGCAGTCACACTTTTTAAAAATAATTTATTTATTAACTTGACCACAGCCTTCTTATTCATTATTGTACCGCAGCTCTGCTCTTTTTATCTATTTTTCCGTAGCCTCGTGAGCAGGATGCAGGTTAATGATGATATAACTACTACATAAGTCACCACCACACGTATAGCTGTTGTGGTGCAGTGGTTAGTACGGTAGATTATGACGCGGCCAACCTGGGTTCGGTCCTTGTCTGAGTAACACATTTTTTTTTTTTTTCATTTTTATTGTTAAGACATAATACTGTAAGGGTTGTTGAACATTTGAAGTTCTAAAAGTGCTGTTTTCTCAAAAAAAGACGTGATAGTGTAATTAGAAACTGAATTGGAAATAACCTTATTTTAATATAGTCAGTGGTGAACTGAGGTGGGCCGGTCTGAGGCTTGAAACTCCAGGGCTGAAAAAGAGTCCCAGTCCGGCCCTGTTCCAAAGGGTGTGGTCTTGCTTTAAAAAAAAAACGATATTTCAGAAGAGATCTACATAGGTAATCCTTGTGAAAACAAGGATCAATTTTCATTGAAAATATTGATGTATTAAAACAACAATGTAACAATAAGGTTATAAAGAATGCTCTCCGTTCGTTGGCTCTACCTACAGGAAGACATTTTTGGCTTTCATTATTTGCTAATATTTCTTGGAGTAAAGCTTGGAAGTTGACAAATAAGTTTTGCTTAAATAGCAAGATCAAAGAAGTATCGTACAAAATACTTTATAGAATTGATCCTGCTAAACTTGTTTTGGAAAGATTTTAACTCAATATTTCATATATGTTTGGATTTTGTTGTCAAGAAAAAGAAACAATTTTGCATCTTTTTTTTTCATTGTATTTACTCAAGAATATTTTGAAAAGATTTGGAATTGTTTATTAATAAAAAAAACAATTGAGTATAGGATAGAAATTGGTTTATTTGATGTACTGTTTTATTCTGATAATCAGAACTTGAACTGTAAAGGACAATATATTTTTAATTTGATTATGTTGTTAGGAAAATACCATATACATAAGAAAAAGTGGGCTCAATGTAATTATATATATATATATATATATATATATATATATATATATATATATATATATATATATATATATATATATATATATATATTTATTTCAATAGTTCACACTTAGATATTGCTTGACAGCTGTAAGCAGGTTTGGCATGCTGTCCCGGGAGAGAACCCTGAGCTCGGAGATAGTTGAGCCAAGGGCTCCCGCCAGGTCCATAGAGCATGTGAGGGGAGTACGAGATCAGGTGGTTCTCGAGAGCTCCCCTTTTTTGTAAAGGAGAAGAGGAGGAGAAAGGGGTGGATGGGGGGTTTCTTCGGAAAACGAAGACAAGGGAGTAATATCTAGCTAGGCTACTTATAGTGAGTTAGGATAGATCTGATTGGCTAACTAATGAGTGTAGATAGGTGGCCAGCTGCAGTCAATTATATCACGTGCTCCTCTCGAAATTAGTTTAAAAACTTCACATATATATATATATATATATATATATATATATATATATATATATATATATATATTAAAATTAGTGCCTTTTTGTTGAAAATAGTTGGCAGCAGGGTTCATTCCACTGTGGTGACCTCTGAAATAGAGTCTAAGCCAAAGGAAAATGAATTGAAAAATGACTGTTTATTTTTATAAGTTTATTGAAGTGATAATTATTTGGTTAATGCTATGACATGGTTTTAAAGACGGGTTAAGTTTGTGCACATTTATTAATATGGCATATAGGGATTCCAGTTGTGTTATTTTTTGGTGTTTAAATAAAAATCACTAATGGCATATATTATGTTATCATAATGTGGCAATAAGATCGTAATACTGTGCATTTAACACAGTGGATATACTCATCAATGTAAACACAAAAAAACAGCATTAACATTATAGCAGACACTGTAAAAAGCTGATAGCGATTTTTATTTTAGCGTTTTTTTTTTTAAAGCATGACGGTAAAACAGGAACGCGGTTATGAATATATTGAAAAGTGTTTGTTTGTTGTAAAAATTCGTAATAATGACAAAAAAAAAACTAATTTGTGGATCTCCTTACTTCTGGGTGCAGCTGTGGCTGGCGAATTCTGGGAAATTTTCTTATCCCTTGGTTTCAAGTATGATCCTGAAAAGTCTTCGTTTGAAGGGGTGTTTACCCCTTGCCCTTAGCCCTTCGCCTTCAAGCTAAAGAGAATTGGGACACCACTACCCCTTCACGGGCACGCACAAAACAAGGGGTAGGGGTAAGGGAAAGGGCTCAGGGGTAGAATTGGGATTGGGCCTTATTCTACATCTTGTAAAAAGGCCAAAATTGAAGCCTGTTAAATCCTGCCACCTTCATTTTTAGGAATGGCAGGCAGCTTTTCTGCCGGGCATCTCTTTAAAAACATAAGTGAATAAATGTTTCTGGGAAATGGCGTCTGTGAGTGTTAAAGCGTGTAGCTTTTTTCTCCCCCTCCATTCAGTCATCCATCAGAGAGGTGGGTGTTGTTTCTGGCCCAACATGTCTAACGCACCGGGATAAATCACTCACAGTGATTTCAGGGTCCAGTGTTTAAATAATTAAAGAGCTTTAATTTATCAGGATTTAGCACCTTCAGACATGAGAGCTGACATTCGCTGCGGGACAGGAAATGAACAACAGTAATGGAGTTAAAGCGAATGGAGCTGCAACACAACTACACGGGGGAAAAGCAATGTGTGTGTGTGTGCTTCCGGTAACACAATCAAAAGACCAAGAAAAGATAACACAGTTTAATTTAAAGGCTTCAGAAAAGGTTTATTAACTACACATAAGCAATTCTCCCAAGAAACCTACTGTTATGCACTAATGAAACATGCACCGAGAGGATATGATGTATTTTGATGTGTGATAATTCGACAGGTCTAAGATCTAACAGCAAAATTACACTTAAGTTCAATCAGGATGGCAAACTACTGAAGTTATTACAGGAGAGAAAAATAAAGCTGTTATGTACAGTGCATCTGCAGTGTGTAGACTATAAAACCATCAACCAGATCAAAACATATACTTATTAAGAGCCTGAAGAGTACATCCAAAAATAAAACGACATCATTCACCCACCCTTGTGTCATTCCAAACCTTCAATAGTGAAAAATAAGATAATATTTTCAGAAATAATCTGACTTTTCCAGGAAAACATTGTTTGAGATAATCACATCTTCTGTGTTTTTGCTTGATAAAGAAATGCATTTAGGTTTGGAATTAATCAAGGCTGTAAACTGTGGGTGATAAACCCAAAAATCTCTTTACTCTGCCTCAAATGTCTCACAGAATAATACATTTTTATTCTGTTTAATACATTACAACAACTGACTTCCTTACTGAAAAACAAATACGGTTACAGGTTTAAAACATTCTTCAAAATATCTTATTTTGTGTTCAACAGATTAAAGAAGCTCCTAAAGTATTGAAACAAGTAGAGTGAGTAAATGATTTTTGGGTGATGAACTTTCCCTTTAAGAGCAGTACAGTTCAGACCACTTGATAAGTTCTCTACACTACAGATGCACACAGACCACAAACACCATGATTGATTAATGGTGCAATAGTGCCCCCTATTGATTTGAACAAACACCTCCTACAAGGGCTAAACTAACATGGACAATTTCAATGTCTCCAAGTTACCCTCGAACAATCTGACACAATCTCTGAATCAAAAACAATTGAGAATCAATCTGACCTTTTATAAATTGCTAGTTCACCCAAACATTTTAAATAACTTATCCTCCTTTGTGTGGTTATAAACCTTTGAGTTTCTTTCTTTTGTTGACACCAAAGATATTCTGAAACCAATGACTTGCATCGTAGGAAAAATATATATACCATGGATGTCAATGGGTGCCAATATCTTTAACTACAGTGGCCGAGAGAGCTTAACGGGCTGCAATTTAAATAAGCACATGCAATTACACAAAACACCAGCAAAAAAAGAAACGATCTTCATCAATTTATCAGCAATCGTGTTGCAAATTGAACACAAACAACTGAAGAAATGCGCTGCAAATTGGTCACACTTGCAAATATGCATGTAACCCAATGGATATGTTTCTAGGAGACCCAAAACCATGACAGACCCTGCTGAGATATGGATGTGTTATTATGCCGTTGCTCAGTGAAGTGATTGGTGGTCTTTGAAAGGTGAGTTGTTTTTAGTTTATTTTAATATACTGATTACACGACATAAATAAAAAAAAAACACTCTCAGCAGGGTCCGTCATGTTTTTGAGTCCTCTTGAAACATTGATGAAGATCGTTTCTTTATTAGCTGGTGTTTTGTGTAATTGCATGTGCTTTCTTAAAGTGCAGCGCGTTAAGCTCTCTCGGCCACCGTATTTAACAATGTTTAACAGAAGTAAGAAACTCATAAAGGGTGAGTAATTGTGTTTATTTTTGGGTGAACTATGCCTTTAAAGAGAAGGTTTCCTAAACAGTACACACGATCATCCAGAAAAGGAAAAAACTAAATGATTTCAGGCTTTTCTGTTAGATAGTACCACAAAATCTGCCAATTTGCTAAACAAACTATCCCATAAAACGATCAATCAGTTTAATAGTTTCAACTACTTGTAGATTGTCTTAACTTACTTCTATATTTTGACAGCTAAGAATGGAAATGAGTTAAATATGGTATTTAAGAATGAATTTAAACAGGCAAATCACCAAAATTACACCAACTGCAACTTTGGCATTGCAGATTTAGTGTGTGCAGAAGAACGTATCAGAATAGCCCTGAATCCCCTTCTATGTTTAGTTATTAATGAATTCTTTTTTTATAAAGCATGAACATTGTTGTTTTTTTGGTTGGTGTTGTACAAGTGTGTGTGTCCCTCACGTCAGTTTTCCACCAGAGAGCGCTGTAAGGCTTCCTGGATCATGGCTTGCTCATCTGTGGTGTAATCCTAAAAGTACACACATATGAACATATTTTGTTTAAGTCTCGGGTAATTCCAAAGCATGCCAACATTTCATTGCTGGACCCAGAAAAGAGCCAAAATAGAAAAACACACATGAAAAAAAAAAAGACAAATGATTTCACATTATAACATACACCTTTACTGGATGTCTCTAATGCATTTTTATTGATTTGTTTTTACAATTTAGGAACATTTTGGGACAATGTTGCTAAAGTTGGGCCTTTAGGTAGCAGAAATTCAGTGATCCGACTCACTGTCTAAAAGCATGCAAAACACAGTTTGCAAAGTTTGTTCTTTTGTTCACTGGCAGAAGGAATGAGCCAAACTGCCCAATCTTGTTCTTTACCCCAATAAAATGCTTGAACATCCATTTCCTGTGAGTAATAGTATACATAAAATAGTATATGTGTAAAATTGTGATAACTATAAATTTCTGCACATTTCCAACCATAGGATGTAAATGTTTTTACAAAAGTGGCCCAATTGCCCTAAAGCAACAAATGGAAAAACTACCATTTTAGTTTATAAATAACAAAATGTGTGTTTTCTCAATCAAATATGCTTCTTCACATATTCATGCACATCATGCATATTTTTAAAATAAAGATATTTGAATTTAAATATGTTAAAAAGTGAAATCTATCTTACATTCTGCTAGCAGTGTGCTCAAGCAGGCTTATGGTCCCCAAAAAGGCTCTTTTACCCCCAGAAGACAAATTTCATTGGTCTCCAACTTATTATTAGACTTTTTTTGTGATATTTTATTATATTATTTTGTGGGCCAAAGATCTGGTTTGTTGCATGTGGGCCAAATATATATACATGTCATTTTAGGCCAAATATATATATATATATATATATATATATATATATATATATATATATATATATATATATATATATATATATATATATATATATATGGAGTGTAATATGCAAGGTTTATTTACAACAGCAATCCATGTAAAACAAAATTGAAACAGCAAAGAGGAAGAGTGATGCTAAAGAAATATAAATGTGAAAAACTGTTTCAGAAGTACGACATTTTAAAGCTAAAAAAATGCAGAACATTTGAAGCCACTTACCACAAACGTATCGTATGAAAAAGCATGTCGTATTCTGAGGTGTTGAAAGAAGTCTGCACTCTTGTAATTGGGATCACCCCACGGCATTGAGGCACATATCGGACACACCTGGAGAAGTGAGTCACAAATTGCTTTAAATATGAAAAACCTCTATACAACTCTTTGAAAATAAATGAATTTTATTGTGACATTGTGTCTATCTATCTATCTATCTATCTATCTATCTATCTATCTATCTATCTATCTATCTATCTATCTATCTATCTATCTATCTCTGTCATTATTAGTATTACTCCTTTTAATTAGTTTTGCATGGATGAAGGGATATATGGTTTGATTTTGTAATTAATAAATTAATTAATGCATTTATTTATTTATACATTTATTTATTTGTGCTTAATTTAATTTTAGTTTTGAGTAATTAACTTGTGTATTAAGGTAAAGTAAAAATGAAAATGACTGGCAGGGCAATAGGCTGCTAACTTTAAAAAATCAGTTCAATGTAATAACCAGTTTTACCGGTTTACATCAAAATAAACAAGCTGACAAATAAATAACTCAAATAAATCAAGTTATTTCCTACTGGAAATATCAAAACTGAACTCTTTCTGTTGTTAAGGGTGTCAAGAGCTTTTAAACAGCATTAAAGATGTCATAGTGTTTAAAGAAATTGTTTTATCTTGGCAAGAAGGAGTCTTAAGTGACACTTCTTTCTTGTCAAGGAAATGCATGCTGGGGGAGAATCAGGTTAAAGTCTAGAAGGGATAAAGCTGTGGCCGGTAGTTAACAATTATTATTTATATTATTACAGCAATACAATTACTGTACAACAACAGTTACCGTTTTTACATTAATGTGAGGGGAAGGTATGAGGTTGGGGTAGATGTTAATAAATAAATTATTAATTACTGTTTTTACCATTGGGGTAGGGGTAGACATTAATAAAATACAATTAATGGGTAATTTAATGACTAATATAAATCATTCTCATTATAATTACTGTTTTTACATTACTGTGAGGGGTAGATTTAGGGTTAAGATGGGGGTAAATGTTAAAAAAAACAATTCATGGGTAATTAAATAAAAATTTCTCATTATAAATACAGTTTTTACATTACCGTGAGGGGTAGGTTTAGAGTTGGGGTAGGAGTAGATGTTAATAAAATACAATTATTAGGTATTTTAATAGATTAAGTAAATAATTCTCGTTTACATCTGTCCGCAGATGTAAACCTTCTAGCAACAACACAGAATCAAGGCAATAGCAAACATTTAACTGGACTAGAATGTTACAGGTTGATATAAAATAAATAAAAACAGTAACAATAATAATAATGATGATAATTTTATACATATATAAATACATAGTCAAAATTATTTTCAATTTTTCCCAAATGATGTTTAAAAGAGCAAGGAAATTTTCACAGTATGTCTGATAATATTTTTTCTTCTGGAGAAAGTCTTATTTGTTTTATTTCAGCTAGAATAAAAGCAGTTTTTAATTTTTTAAAATTAAACCACTGTGTAGGCAATGACTTGCCTAATTAACCCAGTTAAGCCTTTAAATGTCACTTTAAGCTGTATAGAAGTGTCTTGAATATCCAGTAAAATATCTAGTAAAACATTATGTACTGTCATCATGGCAAAGATGAAAGAAATCAGTTAAAATGTGTTGAATGGCTCTCCGTTAAACAGAAATTGAGGGGGAAAAATACATAGGAGGGCTAATTATTCTGACTTCAGCTGTATTTATATATTGTGTGTGAGAGATATATTAGATTAAATGCGCATGAGTCTCACCACGGGCTGGGCTTCACGAGAATGTTTTGAGGTGCAGTGCTCAACCAACCCGTCCTGGTCAAAGTTCTGCTTCTTACAGTAGGGGCAGGTGAACGTGGAGCGGTTCGGCACTGAACTGAAGGAAACAAGAGATTTTTTAATTAGAGGCATTTCTGACTCATTCAATCATAATTAAATAAATGGATGAATATAAGCTCATGGCTCTGATAAGCCTTTAAGTGGACTATGCTGTAATTTAAAGTAAGAATTGTTGTGAGATTTACAGATACTTTGAGACAGAAATTGGAAGTTTGAAAAGACTTGAAATTGCACAAAAAAAGAAAAAAACAATGATCAACTATTTAAAATATCTAAATTAATATCAATAATAATAACTCGATTACATGCTTGTCAAACAAACATTTAAAAAAAAAACATTAAAAGCAGACAATACTCTATCAACACACAATAATCTATTATACAGAGCACTTTAGAGATAGAGTTGGGATACTACCTGACAATGGAGGGCTGGTCTTTTGAAATGGACTTCATACCCTCCTGGATGTAGTTTTGATATTTGAAGCAATTTCCTGTGTGGCTTCTCATGTCAGAAATAAGAACCTGCCAAAATGAAATATAAATTAAAATTATACATTACCTTTAGAAGCTAGAGCTTCGTCTACATTAAGTGTTTTTAAAAAAATCAGTCAAAACCTACCTCTTCTCTTTGGCGTATTGATATAAATTAGGGTGTTTTTTTTTCTTTTTTTAGGACTATACAGGTTTTTTTTTTTTTTTTTTTTTTTTTAACTTGTTTTGAAATTGTATTGTGAAATTGTATTGTGGCATATTTTGTCCTGTCTCTAATTTTTCATTATTTTTGCCATGTTTGTGAAGCACTTTGGTAAACATTAATTTTGTTTTTCCAAAGGGGTGGTCCACAGTGCATTTTTTTTTTTTAAGATTTATTTTTGGCCTGTATTAAGTGGATAGGACAGTATTTCAAACAGGAAGCGAAGTGGGAGAGAGAGGGGTTAGGATGGGAAATGTCCTCGAGCCGGCATTCGAACTCGGGACTCCCTGAAGTGCTACAGCATCATATGTCGACACACTAACCACTAGGCTATTGCGCCGACTCCACAGTGCATTTTTAAGGCTTGGTTGTGTTTATAAGATGCAAAGTAATGTGTGCTCATGCTTGATTTGTAGAAAATCTGTTAATTTTTCATGTATCTTACTTTGATTATACACAGCTACTCAGCTAACAAGAAAATACATTAACTGTCATATGTCCTAGTTCCTCTGAAAGGCCTACCCTCAAGAGGGTCTGATTGGTTTGCTAACATAATGTGCTATGATTCGTGGATTGGCTCCATATCACTCCCCTACAAGCGCATGCTTTTGCGCTGTGTAAACAGTCCAGTCAGAGCAGCTTTTAGTAGTGTTACACAGCTCACGCCTGCTCTCTAAAATAAAATCTGACAAGTGTCTTTCACATATATTTGGAATAAGCATGTATAAGTAATATCATATGAAACATTTACATATCTTTTGTGAATATGTCAAATGAGCTGCAGAACACAAGGAAAGCAGCAGCATAGAGATGCACGCATAGAGAGACACGGATGGAGAAACATGCATAGAGAGACACTGCAACGCTGATGAAGTTTGTGGCTGTTTACAGCCGTTTGACTGATAAATATTCATTTGTAGCTAAATTGTTAGCGGTGCCAAACAGCATTTTTCATTGTTTGCATCATTGTTTAAGTCCGTGCTACAACATACCATTAACGCTAGAAACTGTGCCTGTAGTTGATCAATTTTAACAAATAAAAATACTTGCAGGTTGTGGCTCACAATACAGAGCTTCGTTGGTTGGAGGAGCTATTAGCCGAATCCATAGCAAAAGTGGATTTGGACATGCCCTTAAATGCTTTTGCGCCCTGCGATATAGACTTTGTGCCTAGATCATTAAAATAGAGCCCATAGTATGAGAAATGAACTCAGCTGGATCATGAGCCCAACATATGGTGCCATGACAGACACAAACTGCTGTTGCTGACGTAATGACGTTAATTTAATTATGTGCTATAACATGTAAAAGCGGAACATGAAAGGAACATTCAAAAAGCCACTCATGTAAACACCTTAATCATATTCAGATCTTATTCAGATTAAGAAAAATAATTAGATTATTGGTGTCCATGTAAACTTGACTGACCTCATTTTTACAGCCTTTGCACTTTCCGATTGATCTCTTCATAAGGTCTTGTAAATGGTCATCTTTAGCCCACTTGCGCAGATCAGTCCTGCAGACGGCACACACTGGGCTTTGGGGCCGCAGACACTCCTGAAGGCAGTCGTTACAGAACCTGAGTGGAAGAGAGAGAAAAACACTGCAAATGAGTGCTTTTAGTTGAAAACAAAAAATAATTAAACAAAAAAAAATCACTCATCAGAATATATGAACTGGACATTGCTAAAGTGTCCCCAGCTTATGCATCATTCACCACCACCACCACTACTACTACTACCATAACGATGACGATGACTACTACTACTACTATAACGAAGAGTACTATGAGTACTATTTACACACCCTGCCTTGCAGAATACAATAATTTTAATAATTTCAACAAATCAGGATGGATCATAGTGAATGCTAATTTTGAGTACTACTCCGTGGCATAGGGCAAAATGTGGGGGCCCCCCTGCAGGGATCACTAATGGGGCCCACTGATGGGGGGGAAATCACAAACTGAGGGGACACGGAGAGTCGTGGAGCAACGACGCGAGGAAGCGATCATAAATTGAGGAGCGGGAAAGGGGGGCGGGGTGGAAAGACAACGCGGGGAAGCCTTCACAAACTGAGGAGCCATCACAAACTAAGGAGCGGGAAAGGGGGGCGGGGTGGAGCGACGACGCGGGGTAGCCTTCACAAACAAGCAGCGAGAGCATCAAAGTAGCCGGAAGTCATTCAATTTCAATGAGAACCGGTGGCGAGGAGCAGCGCGTCGAGTCTTCTCCGGTGTGGGCATCGAGGAGGACTTGAAATCAAGTCAACTTTATGGTAATATGCTATGATGTGGTTCGGCGGCAAGCAATCAGAATGAAGTAGTCCACCGTTTGAGAGGAGTTCAGAGAACACAGACCTGGGAACTTTGGTTCCAACCACAGTTGTTCCCAGGGGTTTGATTATTGTGGTTGCCGGATTTTCAATTATTAAAAATCGCAACAAGGCGGGGCCCTTAATCACGCGGGGCCCCCCCGCGGAGCGTGCCCTGCTGGCCCGTCCGCTACACCACTGGTACTACTCCACATGAGCTAGATATTTACATATAAGACAAAATAATAACTGACTAAATCTATCCTGTTGAAATGTTTACACACCCCTGAATCAACTGTATGAATGTTTGTGATGGTTTTTAATGAGTCATTTGATTGTCCTGAAGAGTTCAACCAGCTGCTGTAGTTTAGAAAAGGCCTTCAGCTCCTGCAAATTCTTCAGTTTACTGCGTCTTCTTTATATTTTTACAGCCCTACAACAGTGACTGTGTGATTGTGATGCCCATGTTTACTGACAAACTCAAGCAAAACATTTACCGAAAGTGAAAATGTTTCCTGACACTCAGCACATTCACATTAAGAGCAGGGGGTGTAAACTTTTACACAAACTGAAGTATACATTTTCAATTATCACTGTGCTTCAGCAGCTAATACTAATACTAAATAAGTACAATTTACCTCAATTGTTCATTAAAAATCATTATATTGCCTTTTTGAGTAACTGATATATAAATAAAAATGCATAAAAAATGTCTAATGTTTTGTGGATTCCACTTTTCTTTACTGCTCTATTAATAATTAATATTCCAAACAGATTGAGTAACTTAACTTTTTAAAAATACACGTTATTAATCTAAAGTGAAATACATTTTAAAAACCGCCTTCCCTACACTGCACCTTAACCAAATATTTTAATAAACAAATACTCTGTAAATGCTCTTATTTTGCACTTTTAACTGATGTTTGCCAGGATTGCTTGTAATTGAAAGGCCACATCTGATCTGACAAGACAGGCGCTGGGTGTTGTTTTCCGTTTCTAATTACGTGTACACTACAACTCCCACAATCCCACACTGCAAAGTTTTGTACACAAGAAGCAAAACTGAAAGTAACCAGTTTCTGTCTTATAAAAAAAATCGCACCACAACAGCACTTATTGAACAGTGTCCAACACAATCACATTAAGATTAAGGCGGAGGTCACGAAGGTTGTGAATCGCTTTGAGGTGATGAGGGGATTAACATTAAACTACTCAACATGTCAACCGAGAAGTTGCTGCTAGCAGACATGAGCTCTCCAGAATACTCACGTATGTCCGCACTGCGTGGTCATGGGCCGGACGAATATCTCCAAACACACGGGACACACGAAGTCGTCGTCTTCAGCATCGTTTACGTCGGTTTGCGGGTCTATTTTGAGCATGGCCATTTCTGCTGCGCTGTGTTCCGTGTTCTTGAACTCCAGTGAGATTCACTTTTGTGAGGGGAGGAGCAACAACTCAGCTGATCTCCTGATGCACATGAACGAGAAACAACATTACAGCTCTTATTAGACGTACGACAAATAAAAATAGCCGTTTGCTAACAAATAAATGCAATATATAGTAGGCTACATCTGTTGTGGCTGTGTTGTCTTCTACGTGCGTAGTTATAAGCGAGATCTCGCTAGTGCTCTCCGATGCATAAACGAGTCATTTGAACCGGCTCTTTTAAATGACCGACCGAATGAATGAATGTGAAAATGACTCGATTGGAGGTTGAATCAGACTGTAAAATAAGAACGTAGAAGTTTTTTTGACGTTACTTTTTTTATTATTGATGGGCAATGCAAAATCTAGTCACAGTATAAAGAAAAAAAAAATGAAAACTATAAATAAAAATGTTTTAAAAGAAATACATAAGGATATTTACATCATCATAAATTAAAGGAAAATAGTATATGATTTACAAATGTCAAAAAAGTTTCTAACCCTACCCTAAACTATATATTTAATTACATATATATTTATATTTAATATATATATATATAATTACATTATACATTATACATAATTACATTTATGTATAAAATTTTGTTAATAAAATAAGAAAAAGTCTTGTCATTGTTCTCAATGACAAAGGGGGAAGTCTTTCCAAAGCAAATTAGAATAATTGCTTTCATTAATTACCAGAATTAATGAAAGTAGAACATTTTTAGGACTGAAACTTGAATACGGGCGACGTTTTAGAAAAGTAATCTAAAAATTATACTTCGATTCATTAAAATAAATAAACGTTCAAATAGAAAATAAAATATACTTATATGTGACAGTTATATATCTCGCAAATCTTAATTAATTTTTACATAGCTTTTTTTATCCCAGAATAGTAAATATATGCCTGTAAAATCTAAAAACAACATCTGACCTCGCAATTCTTGCATTTGTCTTGTTAGAAACGTATATCAAAATATTAGCATTTAACATATAATTTCACAATTGAGAATAAACTTAAAGTTGCAATTCTTAGTTATATGTTGCAATTTTTACTTAAAAAATTATTATTTCACATGTTGTGTATTATTTAATATTATTCTCAAAAAAATTGTTGGTAGAAATATAAAAATCCACAGACATTCATAAACAATGGAACAATTCACATTTAATATAGTATTCATAGAACTGATCCTGTGTACACTATTTAGATTTTTTTTAGTAAAGCATGTACAATCAAAGGTATTTTTTTAAACAGAGCCTTAAAGCCTAGAGGATTTTTTAGAATGATTGATTTGAACATTTATGTTAGTATTAATACATTATCTAAATTCATGCAAATTGATGAAAATTGTTCATTCTGTTTAGATCATTCAGAGTCTTTTGAATGTCAGCATTAAAAGAAGTTTTGGGATGACTTATCTCTGTATGTATCGGGTTTTAGATGGAATTTAACATCATGTGCTAATTTATTTTGACTGAAACAAACTATCTGTGGAATTTATAATGAATATTTTGATTTTATTTGGAAAATTTCATATCCGTAGAAGCAATAATACTAAATCTTAAAGGTATTCATTATAGATTTTAATTTTTAAATAGACTCGCTACAGTGTATTGATAGCAAGAAATGTCAAAATACGATGATAGTTGCAAAGGAGTTGAAGCTAATTGAATAGAAAACTTGCTGTCTATTATAAATAAATATTATAAATAATTATAAATAATGTCTTACCTATAGCTGCTGATATTGTAAAAGTTTTTATATTGAGGTAACGTGTTTTTATTCATTCTTGAATATTTAAATAGATTTTTAGTTAATTTATTTTCTTTTATGTTTTAGTTAAGTCTGTATTTATCTGGATATATTTGCTTTTTGCTGTTAAATGACTCCATTGAATCAAAATATGTGGCCGAACCGACTCGCTGAATGAATCCGAATCCCAGCGCTAGTCCTGACTGCAGCTTGCGGCCTCGGGAGCGCGCATGGGAGGTAGTGTGGCGCATGCGCAGTGCGGCGGTGGGGATTTCCAGCGGAACATGAAGGTAAGGAGCGCTGGATGATGGGGAGGAGGGCGGCTTGGTAATGGTGCTGCCCTGCGCTACATGACACCGAACGGGTGTTCTTACACGCAAGTCTTGATCTTACAGAGGTAATTAATGAGACGCCGTGCGATGGTGTGTGTTTAATATGTGTGCTGTTTGGATTTCCAGGCCCCTGCAACTGCGCTAATGTTAGCAGTGGTGTGCTAGCTGCATCTGATATCTGTGATAGATGGGCTACAAACGAGTTAGAGCAGATAGTTTAGTATTCGTTTATGTTTAAACCTTTAAAAACACCAGAAAATACCTCAGGTTGGGTTGACTGACACGTTGACAGATTTACTCACTGTAAATCAAGGAGAATGTCATATTAGCTTTGTGGCTAACACACGTCACTGTTTATGTCACTAGCAATCAAATGCCGACAAAAATAATCCGTCTTTAATACGTGACCGTGTTCTCTGAAAAATCCTCATTTATTTGTGTGTATTCTGTTTTATTCCCTTCGCCATGTTCTGTCAGATGTCATGGTCATCATGATGATGATGATGATGGTGAATGATGATGAAATTGACAGGCCTGATATTATAATATCTATGACTTCAGCTGCTTGAAATGACAAGCATCATCAGTTTTTATAAAAGTTAAATGCTAATTTACGCTATTGGTTTTGAATTGGAAGCATAACCAATGAAGAATAAAGTGTCTCATGCCATATTCACTGCTAGAGCAGTTTAAAGCCGCGCTGTTCCATATTATATGTATGCTATAGGCTGATTTACATGGTAATGTGTGTCCTCTGAGGAATGAGGAAACTCCTGAATTCCAGTCAATCACAAAATTGACACCGACAGTTCATAAAATGTTGCTTGTTTATTAAAATATGGTGCGCCCTGGAAAAGCTCACTGAGGCACAGTTGGTTTTATATTCGATCATACAGAATTTGACGTTTAATAAAATAGTGAAGCAGAATTTTTTTAAAGGTTAATACTGTACACTGCACAACATGATAGCTTGTGGCACGATCCATATCTTGTCTACCACGCTACTAAGAATAATCTGTCTGAATTTGCATGCAAGTATGACTTCAAAACAACACTGACACTTAATATTAATAACATTTAATTGAATGTGAACAATGTTGTACTTTAATAGTCATTAGCTGCTATTATGATTTTCTCATTTAGAATTTGCAAATAATACTTTTCAGAATTATATTGCGAAGGTGAACGTCTGAATGTGTGAATATAAAACCGACACCAACCCCAATGCTGAGCTCCTCTACATGACCCACTTGTTGCCATTGGGATACAGTTGGTTTAAATTTGCACTTTCACCATACCAAAGTACTCTTTGCAAATTCTAAATAGGGAAATCATATAAGCAGCCAGTGCCTATCAATGTACAACATTGTTCACAGTCAATTAAATAGTGCCAATGTTGTTTTGAAGTCATTCTTGCATGCGATTTCAGATTGAATATTCAAAGTAGTGTGTTAAGCAATATAGGCACCGTATCACAAGTTGTCACTGTATGAATGTGCAAACATAAAGCCAATGTACCTCAAAGTAGCGAGGTAAACAAGTCATCATTTTGATGGAGTTGTGGTCAGAGACCAATCAGTGTTTAACTTGAAGAATTGGAATTTTTTATCACTTGAGATGGTGAAGATGCCACATGACTTTACCGCTTGTCATAGTAACACAAGGGTGATTTGAAGCAGCCAGCTGGCTCATTCTGTGCAGTTTCTCCAGAGCGGCTGTACCAGGTCTGATGACAGTACAGCTAATTCACAGATGACAGCGATCACGTTTTGTGTTTACTCTGACACATTAATGCTGTTTCTTACTTATTCATATTTTATTACAGTACAACATTCCTGTAAGCATAATGTTGTATTTTTTTCCTTTATTAAAAATATAGTTTTTCCCAGTGATGGGTTGCAGCTAGAAGGGCATCTGCTGCGTAAAACATATGCTGGATAAGTTGGCGGTTCATTCTGCTGTGGCGACCCCAGATTGATAAAGGGACTAAGCCGAAAAGAAAATGGATGAATAAAAAATAGTGATTTTATTGGTGTTGAATCAGTGGTGTCAAACTCAACCCTGCTTCAACACACTTACCTGTTTCAAACAAGCCTGAAGGAATCAATTTAAAAAAAAAAAAAAAAAAAGGTCACTAAAATGCTTACATGTTGATGCAACAATAGACCATTCAGTCTGTGGAGCCCTTTAGGGTTGCAAAACTGTAGAATTCACGCCTTTTATGGTAGCCTATTGGACGTTTTCTAACACTTAAGTTTAAACGCACATCTAAATCAATTAATTTCTGTTTCCTGTTAATATGATTTAGTAGCTATAACAACAGCAAAAAAAGAACCACCCACAAAGTGACATTTTAAATACCTGATAAAACAAAAAACAATAGATGAAAAACCCAAAAGAAACACAGGTAACATTGAAACAATTTTTGGCCACTTCATATTGCCAACTATTGTTGGAAAAATGCTCTTTTTGTAACGAATTCATTGGTATAATTTGTATCTTTATTTTAATGTATTTTGTTCGTAAGTCAGTTATCTACAAAATACGTGAAGTGATGCACAAATACTTTTTTCAACAATAAGGGAATTATGAATTCAAGTAAGCCTATTATAACATATAAAATATAGTATTTCTGACAAATTTCTTTATTTCATAGATTTGAGTTATGAATTACAATATTGCAATAATACTTCAGCTGGTATAGTATCGTAACGTGAATTAATGGTATCGGTAATAATGGTATTATTAATTGTATTAATGGTTAACCCTAAATCTAACCTACTTTATCTTTAATTAGATACCAAAATATTGCGTGACCATCACTATGGAAAGCAGAATCAATGTCTGCGGCCAATGTCTCTTCTCCGACTGCAAGCAACAAATCTTGCCAGTTGTTTATATTCAGCTGCACTTGAAGTCAAAGCACCTTTCTATTTTTGAGTTGATTTCCTTAACAGTACATGCTGATTGGTTGATAAAGCCAGTCTCTAACCCTTCGTTTCTAACAATCATGTCCTGAAACTAAACATTTGCTCTAAAGGTAGTATAAAGACAGTAAATTTCTTCATTTGCCACTGGCAATTAGCCACAGCGTCTTATAATCTTATAATATGCGCTTCTTATAATCTTTGTATAAAATGTATGTTGTTGGTCACACGGCATACATAAAAGGGATTTATCGCCAAAAAAGAAAAATTCTCTTTTTTTTTCTCTCCCCCCCCCCCCCCCCCCCCTGTGAACACACAGGAAGATATACTCAAGAATATTGGGGTAAAAAACAGCAATTGATTATGGCTTTGACCAAAATTGCTTACTTCCCTGTATGTTTCAGTTCTTTTTGAATAAATCTGCAAAAATTTCAACAATTCTGTGTTTTTC